CTCTCTCGTCTCCACGAAACGGAAACATTTTGGGTCCGCATGTGGATATCTGAGTCTCTCTGATTCAAATGCTCTCTCGTCAACTTTTCTCTGGTCAAAGGGAGAAGCATCAGGAAGGGTGCTGGTTGGGGTGGCGGTTTCGTTGAAGAATAAAAGAAGAAGAAGGAGCAGGGGATATATGAAAAGATGGAAGATGTTTCATCGGGTGGCGGCGCCCGCAATCGCCACGAAGAGTTAAGATTGTGGATGGAGGAGAGAGGGGATCCAGACGACGGAAAACTCATGACGGAGATTGATGAGCAAGGGTGCGGCTCCGTCCGCGCGGTAAGGGGAAAGACCAGAAGAAAGAGGAGAAGAAAACGAACGTCTTGGCGCGGTGCCAGGAAGAGTTTATGTATACTTGTTATCTGCAGATCATCAACTCAGAATTTTTATCTGGGTCTAGATCTTTTGAAGTCAGGGAAGAGAGAGCAACTGGTGTGAGGAACATATGGTTTTGGAAAAAATTAGCATTTGGGAGAGGTTAAATTTTCGGGAACTTAAATCATTATTACTTCTCACAAGCTTATTAAAGTGGCAAAAAGCTTATTAAAGTGGCAAGCTAGTGCACCTATGAAGAACCACAGACTTTAAAAAAGTCTGAATTCAGTACAACCGTAAAACCTGTAATAGAAAGGCCCCCCTATCTTTGATTCAATTTATCTCAGTTCCAGTTGTTGATCAGAATATCAAAAGTATTTTGTTAGCTGACACATTTTCTTATATCAGGAGCCAAGAAAAATTGGCTCAAAAGTGAGGGACCCTTCTATTCCAGGTTTTACGGTATCTACTTTTAGAAGTAAAATTCTGTTGTTATCGAAAAATGAATAGAAATTTCCAAAAACCCATTATTATTTTTATTACAACTGAGAGGGGTTCCGGTACCAGGCACCAATACAACAGTTGGAAGAGTCTTTATGAGTTATGAGTAAAGAATGAGTAACAATTGCTGCTCCAAAATCTGATCAAATGAAATCTCCAATATCAAAATGCCATCATCTTGATGACAACTGGGACTCGCTCTCACTTTCTTACCCCCACAACTGTTCGTTTTACACCCAACTACTCATAGTGCCACTTACTTATCCCTTCTGCTGTAACAGTTAATTTTGAGTCACAACGGAAGGGATAAGAAGTGTTTGTGTTCACACAAACTCTTGTTTTTTTCAAATGGATCAGTTGGGAGAAGGATATTCGGATAAGTCTAACAATAAAACTATACGCCTAGGTTCGTTGTCCTAAAAAAGAAAACAAAATAAGCTGAAAAGGGCGAAAAGGAGAAAAAGAGGGTGTTTAAAAATTGATGAAAACAAATTTGTGGAAGAAGAATGGGATGCGTGCGCATATTTTACGAAAAACACAAAAGTTGAGAGACCACACCAAATGGTGGTGCATCTGCAACAATCATGAAAAATGTGAGAAATATTTCTGAGAAAGACAAGTGGTGGGAGGAAGACAAAGAGAAATGACGATGTCTTGAGCAGCAAAGTGCTTCAAAGAAGAAAAAAAAGAAAAGAAAGATGGGCAAGGGCCACACATTGAGGAAATGAGACAAAAAATGAGTTGGAGAGAGAGAGATGCACTTGAAATTACTAGAAGAACTTTTTGAAAAGATTCTAAAATCAGGAAAATTCTATTCCCTAACGTTAAAGTTATCGAACCGTTTAGAATTCCTTGGATTTTCTACCATGTCAGCCTCAAACTTAGAATCTCGTGATACCTTTTTCTCTCTAAAACTGGTTTTCCAAAAACTTCGCCTCTTTCATAAAGTGATATAAGTGCATCATTTATCCAAAGTGTGTATAAGGGGGTTGAAAGGTCTCTAACCCCTTTAGCATCGACAAGGTCATAATAGTTAGATACGCGGTGCTGGGTTGCTGAACATACAATTGTGTACGTATGAATAACCAGAAAGAGACGGGGGAAATAGAGGGAAACTAGGTAGGAAAGAGAAGAAGAATGAAGAGTTGAATCATATTGAAAAAGCTCGACAAACCGTGAAAAATCAATGTGCTGTCTATTACTCCTATTATCGGTTCCTCTTACCCCCGATCCTCCATCGAAAGAGGTAAAGTAAACGGGTGAGGAAGGAAGGCACCACCAGAATTTGTATACAAAAATGACGGCGATGTCTGCGTTTCTTCAGAAGCTCAATCTCTATTCTATTCATAATTTGTATAACTGACTATGTCTCCTAGGAGAGTTCTATAGTTTCCTGGAAGATAATTAGTATGTGAAAAGATGGAGCAGATTGGTGCTCAGAAGGATAATAATGGTCAGCAGTTAGAAGAAGAGCCGTTTAGAGACTTGGAACCGCAGGATTGAAAGAAGGAAAAAACTAGAGGGAAAAAACAACGGGTGTTTTTGTATCTGTATTGTTTTCTTCACTCCTCCATTCACCGATGTTTTTTGTACGGTTGTGTACACTTCTCACTTTCTGTTTTCCTTCTTCTCCGGTTGATACAAAAAATCTTGACAACGGAAAGTAGGAATAAAATTTAGCCCTTCGAAGTCTATGGTTGAATTTGCATATGTTTTGATTCTGGTATTTTTGTGAAAACAAAGGACATATGTTCTGTCTGAAGTGGAAGGTGGCTGTGAAACTTTCTAGGCCACCTGTTGCTCTTTTCGGCACGAAAAAAAAGTGAAGTGGTATTTGAAAAGTGTACAGAACGCTTGAGAAATATAACTTGGCAATGTGCAAATGGGGATTTGGAATATAAAAAAGTATATGGAATCTCCAAAATCAGAATCTCAGCTTTTCCGGAAATGTCAAAATTTAGAAATGTGTCAGATCTCAAGATTATACCAGTTTTCAAAAAAAAAAAACTATTCAGTTTGAAAGCATTAACGTTAAAATACAATTTTTCATCTTATAGAAGCCCACCCAAATCGTTAACTTTCAGCTCAATTATCTTGATTCCTGTAAAAGATATCAAAATTTTGTTAACTGATAAACGGTTTATAATAATATCACCAATATTTTATCAGTTGACTAATTGTTGATATCATTCACAGGAAATGAGATAATTGAGCTAAAAGTTGACGGTTTAGATAGGCTTCTATTTCAAGAAAAAAGGTATCCTGAATTTTGGAACTTCCAATCAGAACCTCAGAGTCATGAAAACTGGTTTAGGAAACTAGACCTCAAAATCACAAACTCTAAAATATACAACAAATCGATTCGAAAGGGAAAACGGAGGGAAAAAAAGTTCAAAAACGGATCGTTTTACATCATAAAAAGCGCGCTCTCGATGCCCTCTCCGTCCTCAATAAACCATAAATTGCACTCTTTTCATCACTCATCTTTTTTCGTTGATAAAATAATGAATCTAATATTTTTGAGATTTATGAAACATAGAAATAGATCACTGGCAGGAAATGATCCAAAATGATGAAGTGCTGAAGCAGATGTATGTCACACATTGAGACAGTTCGATTACGTAACATAACAGGTGCACGACAAATTGAAAAACTGGGAGAGGAAGAGATCGAAATTGTATCCATTTGGAATACATTTGGAATGAAGAGAGAGAGAGAGAGGACTATCCGATTGATATTGGAACAGAATTGAATTAAGTGACGGGGGAAGAAAATGATGAAGGTTGGAGGAACGAGAACGGAAATGGAGAAGAAACTGGAAAAGAAGAATGGCGGAAAGAGGAAAAAAGGAATTGACTTGTATTTTGAAGAAACTGTATGAGATACCGGGGGTGTACGTTTGAGGGTCATGAGAATAAGGAATACTGAATTTATGGAAACGTCTATTGTCAACTCTGATTTGCATATCGAAACCAAACCGTTTATGAAATAAGAAGAACACAAAAAAATAGAGGTACGGTAGCTTTTTTCGTCTTGCTTTCCTAAAAATTCAGAATGGTAATTCTGCGTTTCAGCATGGGAAAATTTTTTAAATTTCAGAAAATTAGAAATTCAAGAATTCAAACATTCCGGGTTTCGGAATTTAAAAAATTTAGTCATCTTGAAGTTCGGGAAATTCGAAAAATTGAAAATTCTCGAAATATTGAAGTTCGAAAACTCGAAATTCTGAAAATTGCGAAGTCAGTCCTCCTGTTATCAAGAAATTCGGAAATTCTGAAACCCAGAAAATCAGAAATTCAAGTGTAGATACAGTCAGCGGAAGCCAGGAAGTTGAGCCCAAGATAGGGGACGTAAGCCGACTTGTATTTACTATTAAACCAAAATTTTTGGAACATCTCCTCAAGTTTCCGTCATCAGAGATCGCCAACCCAAAATCTCATGAACCAGTTTCTAAAGTTGTTTTCCACAGGTTTTCTTTCAAAAACTCGAAGAAAAAACAAAAACTACTCAAAATTTCAACAAAGCCAACCGAAAAAAAAACTTGGTCAACCCTTTTTTGTCAAGTGGTGGTGACAAAAACCAGTTTTCGGCGAAAAAATTCCGGAAGAATTGAGCATTTGAATATTCAATGAAGACTTCCAATTTCTTTTCCCGATATGTCGGACCTTTTTGTGTTAAAAGAGAGACTATTGGGGCGGAAAAGAAGGAGAAAAAGCCGACAGAAAATTAGAAGGCTTCTTCTGTATATGAACAGATGACGGTAGAATACAGATCATGGGAAAACAAAAAGAAGTCGTAGGAGAAAAAAGAATAGAGAAATTGAATTATTATTATGTAAATGATATGTGAAAAAGAGGTACATAGTAGCCATAGGATGTCCGAAAAGTACTATTTGAAAAAAGAAGAAGAGACATAGAAATGTATACAGACATACATATATTGTATAAAACACAATATGTATAACAATCTGTATAGGTTTAGCAGTCAGATCAGTGGCATAAGAAGAAGAAGAAGAGAAAGAACTGGTTTCAGTATGTTTGGTGGCTTTTAAACTTGACGAGATTCAGAAATCAAGGTGAGAATATGACACTTTTAAGTATTATGGAATCGGGGACAAAGTTGAAAACTATTGAGACAAGTTAGAGGAGATTCAGCATCAATAGAAGGCAATGGAAGGGCTTAGACACTTAGTTGAAAAAATTTTAATATCTTTGATAGGAACGGAGATGAGTTGGTTTAATGTTCAGAGTGATGAGGCTCTTCTATTGCAGGTTTTACAGTATTTTGAAGTTTTTGAAAAAAAAAAAACTCACAACAGTGTTTGCTCCTTCGTTATCTAATAGTTCTTTTTCATTTGATTCTTCTATGTCTTTTTCAGAATCCGCGAATTCTTTTTCGTTTTCTTTGTCTTTATCTTCCTCGAGTTCTTCTTGAAATTGTTGCTCTTCGAGCAAGTTGAACAACGGAGGAGGCGGTTCAAATTCGTCGAGTTCCAAATGAATGGCGTTGTTCAAAAGTGTGGATGACGAGGGCGGAAGAAGACTTGCGAGAAGGGAAATGCTGTAAAATGAATGGAATTTATTTGAACTGCTCTCCCTTGTCTTTTGTTGAAAAGTGAATGAAGAGGATAAATTCTTTCAGTTTTGGGGGGAAAATGAAAGAATTGGCTCTTCACAAGGAACAAAATCTGCCAACACTTTTGATGAATTGCTCAAAGAAAATGAAAATGGACGACAGAATTTTGATGGAAAAACGGAGAAGAGAGAGAGAGGAGTCAAAAGGGTCAAGAAAGTGTACATCATACTGAATGACAAGGCTGTCTTCTGAATTGAATGGAATGCTTACGCAATTCGAAACTGACAAAGAGGACACCCTCCGGTAAAAATGAACAGAGAGGGGCATGGCAACAATCACGGCGATGGAAGGAGAGAGGTTTCTAAGAGATGTATTAGTGAAAATTATGGTGAGAACGGTGATTCATTTAGAAAAAAGGTTTTTGGAAGGAGAATACTGGTTATAATTTTGTGGGTTTCCTGAGAAATTATTTGAATTAATTTCCAAGTTTTCCGAGAAACCATGGATTTTTAGGGCGACTAAAACGGCCAAAAACAATAGCAGTAAATATTCGTAGTTCGCTGAGACTTCCTAAAAATCATATTATCATTAAAAATTTTGCAAACTGGCGAACGACTGCTAGTTGGCAGCCGAAAGAGCACTGACGGACCGTCAACGGACTGTTGACGGACAATTGGAACCCCTTGGATATCCGAAAGAAAGTTTTGATTGGAAATAAGACAGAGAACAGTTTATATTTTATGCTCCCAGTAGATTATAGAATGATAATAAGAGCTAATTAGCTTAAAATAACTTTCCTCAGATCTGACCATCTCAAAAATTGAGTTGTTGAACGACTGCTTTATAAAAAGGCTCCAAATCTCTGCAGAATGGAAAATTGGTGAAAAATGTTTTTTTTTCTAAATTTTCACAGTATAAAGTCATAGAAGATTCTAAGAATCAAAACAATTCAATATTAGAAATATTTCTACAAAAATTAGAATCTGAGGCTCAGTTGGTGAAAATGATCAAAGTGACGCTATCCGAAAACTAAAATGTGCTAACATCATAGAATTTAAAGTTCACAATCTTTCGGAATCTTACAAGGATCGAAGAATGAATCCCCAAACTCATTCTCTAGTCCCTCGAAATTTGGATAACCTAGAATTTCAATTAGCATGTTCACTTGGGCGCCATCTTAAAAATTCAAAAGTTCACTAGAAAAGACGACAATAAAAGTCAGAAATGAGAGAAATAGAGTGCACATCCAAAACGTCAAAGAATGGAACAACAAAGAACAGCGAACGACGAAGAATCCATTGTTTCAGAATGCAGTCGTTCGGCTATTCTGCGTCTCTTCCCGTTTTGTACGAATTGCGATGTTCTCTTGTCGTTCGGAACATGCTCGCGCACAGATTGAGGGAAGAATGGGGAGGAATAGAAAGAGAATGGAAATGATTTATTCATTAATGTTCTGGCATGTTCCAAGGATGCCAGAGTTGCAACATATGTGAAAAGGACAAGGACATTTCTCGAATATTCTTCTCAAAAAATACTAGAATTTCAGATTTTCATTGAGTCAGAAAAATTTTCTACATATCGAAACTCTCATGGGAAGTTTGAGATAGAGCTGGTCCCTCCTAATTAAAAACAAATTAATTTTCAAAATCGAATTTCACATATTTCCAGTTCAACTTCAAAACATAATAAAAGCTTTCCATATCTAGGTCAGCCCAAAAAAGTACAATAAGACCTAGATACTGTCCATCTGCCGTTTTTCCATCCTTCTTCTCATTCCGTTCCACTTCTTCCTGCCGTATTGTCACTAAATCATCTGCGTATGATAAATGACCGTAACCAACCAACTATACAAGAAAAAAGAGAAGAAGGAGAAATGAGGTCAAATCGAGGGCTTAAATGGACAAAGTAATCAACTGGAAATCGAGATTTAAGCCTCCCCTAATGCTCCCCATTTGTTGCGTATTTCGCAACAAAACAAATTGATTCAGAAGCATCCATTTCTGTGTGTGTGTCAATAAACCAACACAACAGAACATATAATCAAGTTATCTGAATGCATAAGATAGGCGTACGAAGGGTTTGGAGGAACATGTCAATGAGAGATAACGAGAGACATGGAGACGCAGACAGTGACCAAGTTGAGATAGCAATCTTTGCTCGGCTGAGGGTGGAGGTCCGGTCAATTGATGACCACGAAAGATACGAAAAAGAGAATAAAGGCTTTACGAGAAGAAGACACAACGAGTTGAACGGGTAAAAATTAGGCTCTACAAGTGATGTTGAGGTTTTCAGTTAATTTACTGAATCTAGCTGAAGAACAAATTTTCAAATCTACAAACAAAGTAGGATTTGCAGATTTTTACAGTACCGTCCAATAAGATATACAAACATTTATTTTTTTAGTTGATCCATTTTGACCATTTTCCGGAGTTTGGAGCACGGTTGGCAAGTTTCCGATCCCTTTGAATTTTTTAGAGGGCGTGAAACAGACCTAGATTGGAAACTTTGAGTTCACAGAATTTTTTGAAAATTCCTAGTTTTTCAGCTATTTGTTGATTTTGGAAAAACACCTGCCTTGCAGTACAAAAACCGGCCAAAAAGAGGTGTCTTCTAAAAATCGGCAAGTAACCTTTTCAAAAAATTCTATAAATGCCAAGCTTTTAAACTAGGTCTGTTTATAACATTCAGAATTTTAAAAGTAATCGGACATTTGACAGCCGAGCTCCAGAGCCCTGAAAATGCCGAAAATCAACAGAAAAATGGGTTTTTGTATATCTTATTGGCTGGTACTGTGTGTATGAGCAACCTATTTAATAATTGAAAATTCGGACACCGTATTTCTTTTTTTCATTACTGTTCCTTGCTTCAGAAACTCTAATAGTCCAAACTCAACCTCTTTTCCATCACCATTTCTTTCAGTCTAAAAGTCTCTCTTCGAATTGGCTCAGATCAAACGGCAAACACTTGAAAAGTGTGCATAAGGTAATTACGAGCGAAAGAGAATTGGAAGAGTCAAGTGTTTACGGACCACTAACATTTCATTGCTTCTTTCGTTTTTAACTCACCATTTCTCTCCCAAAAGTTGCTCTTCTTCGTCGCTGTCCACTTCCAGATCGCATTCTTCTTCACAACTGTCCATGGTGTCTGGATTAAAAATTATTAATTGCTTGATTGACTGGTAAAAGTGAAAAAAAACGAAAAGATTCCAAAATTTTCAGATGAAGAAAATATTTGATATCAGTTTTGCTTAGAATTAGAATAGTAGCTTGGGACCACGAAGCCAATGAATCTTGAAATCAGGAGAAGAACCGGAAGTATACATTCTTTTTGTTTCTTTGAAAATTAGAAATTTGAGAAGACAAAGAAACTTTAGATATCCGAATTTAGAGAAGTAAAGGAGCAAAAAAGTTTAAAAGTTTCGATAAAGACAAATTAGAACATAGTTATACTTGGACTGTTTCAAGACCAGAAATCCAAAACCTGGAACTCAAAACCGCATTTTCAATAAGCCAAAACATCCGACCATCTGTCACCTAAAACAAAACATCCGGAAGAGAATCATTGACCCTCTAGTGTGTCGGTTACCAAGAAAGTGCAAAGACATGGATACAAAAAGTGTCCGAAAGCAAAAAGAAGGCGGAGAAAAGGGGACACATATATTTCTTCCACGCGGAAAGAAGGCGACAAAAACGTACTAATGCGCGAGAGAAGAAGAAGAAAAAGAAGAAGCATATAATGACCTTTGATAGAGTCCCAAAGGACCATGCAATATGGTATTATGGGTTGAGAATATGCAAATTTGTAGTTGTAGTGACGAGAGCAAAGGCGATGAAAAAAGGAGAAGGAACACAAAACCGACAGGGTCAGAGGGGAAAAGTTCATTATGATGCGCAAATACAAACAAATTGAAGAACATCAAAAATAAGAGGATTATTAATAATGAGTCTCTCGGCACGATAGAAACAGGGAACACTTGCAACTTTTGAAAAGAACAATTTTTGAAAAAAAAAAGAGATCTTTCGAAAGAAAAAAGTGGAAAAAATTGTAGTGGTTTATAGAAATTCCTGAACTTTCGAGTGTAACTTTTCTTCGGAATTGTTGTCAAAAACGGAAAAAGATGTACATTGATCTAAATTATGGAGAAAAACTGAAGGCGTAGGGCCAAATTTTGCTATTGCAACCACTTTCAGATCAACCCCAATTCTTGTTATGGACTACCGTAAATCTTGTATTACAAGGGCACCCTGAATTTTAACTTTGAGCCGATTTTTAGCCGTTTCTGTCAAAGATATAAAAGATACAAAAGTTCGATAGGATCTGAAATGAGAGATTGAAAAAAAAAACAAAGACGTATCAGGAACCTCAATTTCAGTTTTTTTTAAATTTTAATAGGTAAAAATCCACAATGATTCAATAACCTCCAAGTTTTGGACTAGGACTTTATGATAGCAATTTTGTGCCTGACAGAACATAGAAGCCGCGAAACAACTAACTCCTAAAAGGACAACAAGTGTTCTGAATGAGCAATATTTCTCAAAACTTCGGACTCAGGAGGCGTGTTTCTGCTGCAATTTAAATGAGAAATGAGCCGTAGTATAGGAACGAAAGTATGATGAATAGGAACGGCCTCTCTCTCGCCTCTAGCTTCTCCTTTTTGTCTTTTCCTTATTTCACCAACTCAAATTAGTGGGGGTTTCCTCCAACCTCAATCACAACGGGTACCAGCTTTTCGAAACTAATTGGTCGTCTCCACTAACGGGATAATACGGACATGTTGGCAAAGGGATGAAGGAAGAAAATGAGGAAAACGTTCCAAAATGACTCGTAACTCAAGAAGAAAAAGAAGTACAGTTGTGATATAAGGAGGCGAGGAAAGAAATTAAAAGTGGGAAGTTGAAAAGGGGCAATGATTCATTCATGGGGAAAACACTTTGATTGCCACAGACAGAAAACTTCGGTGAGTAATTCAATAAGTGGTAAAGATAGTCTGAACAGTGCTTATCAGTAAAAATTGGGATTCTGTGTCTATCAAACCTGAAATGGGCCGTGCCGGGTTTTTGTCCAATTTTGGAAGGCCCGACTCGTAGCCCGATAGCATTTTCACAAAAAAAATTTTTATAGCGAACGAAATCCGTTTTTTTTCAGTTTGGACCAACTTTTTCAAAGCACAGGGAAATTATAACAGACATCCAAATAAACCAAAAAACAGTGCGAGAAAGTTGTTGTTGGCTTAAAAGTACATGATTTTGGATATCGGGCATACCGAGCCGGGCCTGTACACAAAAAAAATCAGTCTTGTCAAGTATTTCCCTAATTTTTCTAGATTCTTTAAAAATCTTTGCCGTGAACTGGATATAGTTTTCAACATATTTTTTATATCACTAATTTTCCTGTGTCCTCCGTGATGTCCTCACTGAATGAATGTCAGATCTAGGATGAAGAAAACATCGGAAAGAATCAGTACTCAGTTTCCAACGTTCAAGTTCCAGGATTTTGCAGGATTCTGGGTAACCGGCTCACAGAACTTCGAGGACTTCGCGGATAACTTCCAACATCAACTTCGAGGACAACTTTTGATATAATGGATCCAAAGGATCGTAATAGGGAGAGCAGAGTGAGAGGTGAGGAAATGAGGCTGGGTAAAATTTTAGAATAAGTAGAATATGGGGGATGCTCAATTTTTGAAAAAAGAATTGAAAATTATCCTGATCATTTCAGGTTTCGAATAGCACGTGGAGGATGCAAACAAGCCGCCAATTTCGATGATGACAATTTCCAGCATTGTGGATTTAAAGGATCGTAGTAGGAACATGGAATGGGAGGTGAGTGAATGGGGATATATACAATTTCAAAATGAGTAGAATTTTTCGGGTTTGAGAAGGTACCTTATTTTTCGGCTTTTCAAAAATCTTTTCAATCAAAAGTTTGGGTTCCCGATTTCCCAAAAAAAATTAGAAAGGTCTTCTTAAACAATTTTTCAAAAAAAAATTTTTTTTAATACGAAAATTTGTATTCGAAATACAGTTGGAGTTTTCTTTTGACAAGGTAAAAAATACAAAACGTTTTGAAAATTATTCTCAAAATTTCAGGTTTCGAATGGCACATGGAGGATGCAAACAAGACGCCAATTTCGAAGAAGACAACTTCCAGCATCGGGGATTCAAGGGAACATAATATAAGAAAGAAGTGAGAGGTGAGTAAAGAGATTGCTAAAATTTTTAAATCAATATAACTTTTTGGGTTTGAGAAGTCAGGTACCTTATTTTTAAGTTTTTTTGAAATCTTATTTTAAATCAAAAGTTTGGGCGCCTGATTTCCTGAAGAAAAGTTTTCGGAAACAAATTTTCTATAAATTCTTGAAAAGTTTTGAAAAAAAGGCCAGATTTGAAATACTGCCCAAATAGAGATTTAGAAGGAGCTTTTTGAAAATTTGCGATTCCTTTAATATTCATAACAAATTTAGAATCCTCTGTCCGTCAGAAGTTATCTCCGGTTTTCGTGCAAATTTTTAAATTCAGTTTCAATTTTTCGACAAGTTAAGAAAAAGCCAAAAAAGATTAAAATTATTCTCAAAATTTCAGATTTCGGATGACACGGGGAGAATACAAACAATCGCCGATCAGCGCCTGGAACATTCGTGAACTTGATTGATTTTTTGTATTCTTTTTCTTTTGCATTTTGTGCGCGATCGTTTTTCTTTGTTGTCGTTCTTATTTCGTCGTAGTGTCTTCAGATTCTGATGTCGTTGTCGTCCGTTTTTCATTTCTGATTCTGAAGTCGTCGTCGTAGTCTATTCTGATTCTGAAATCGTCGTCGTAGTCTCTTCTGATTCTGAAGTCATCGTTGTAGTGTTTTCTGATCCTGATGTCGTCGTCGTTCTTTTTTCGCCTTCTGATTCTGAAGTCGTCGTCGTAGTCACTTCTTATTCTGAAGTAATCGTAGTGTCTTCTGATTCTGATTTCATCGTCGTTCGATTTTCATTTCATTTTCATTTTTCGGTTTTTTAGTCTTCTGGTTCTGATCTCGTCGTCCCAGTCTTTTCCGGTTCTGAAGTCTTCGTCGCTCATTTTTCGTCTTCCGATTTTAATTCGGATGTTATCGTCGTTCGTTTTTCGTCTTCTGATTCTGATTATGTCGTCGTAGTGGATTCTGATTATGTCGTCGTTCTGACTTGGATGTCGTCGTCGTACTATTTTCTTTTTGGTACTCTTTCTAGCTTTTCTTCATCTTTCGCAATTAGTTTCTGGACCATTGGACTGTCAGTTGAAGGAAATAAAACCTGGAAAAAATTACAGATATCTGAAACTTTTACATAACCTGCACATAATTTTATAAAATCGTTGAATAAAATTTTACAAAAATCTTCATTAATCTGGATTAAGTGTCTTGGAAAAACATGTTGTCAATAAATGGTTTTAAAATTTAATTGTGTTGAAATCACCTCACATAGTTTTGGGTGCTTCGAAAAGACAGAGAAGTTCGGTTTGAAACTCTAATGCTTTACACATTCGACCAGTAGGGAGAAAATTGGAAAATGAAAAGATTACTGTAGGGAAACTTAACAAATATATTTGTAACGGCACTCCATTCTTTACAACTTTTCATCCGGCAGAAATATTGTTTATATTTTTCATTGGCTCCGAATTTTTTTGTTTGAAAAAACAGGAAACAATTACTGGAAATCCAGAATGAACGAATTTGTTGAAAAGTTCTAACTATAAGTTTAACAGCTGAATACCTGACAAGAGAGTGAGACAAAATTCTAGGCAAGTAACTTAAACTCTGATCGAAAAATGACGGTTATTTCAGCAAAAAACGGCTGACCGAGAATATTACTTTCTAGGTTTTTCTAATTTCATGTACATTTTATCTTTACTATGCATTAATTCCCTTAACTCATGAACTGTCCCATAACTCATGAACTGTGCCCTATGTTCCCAAAAATCATCCATTCGGATGTCGTCATATTTCTTTTCCCAATTTCATTTTCCCTCATTCCCTATGGACAGTTCTAGCAAAATCTTTGGAAATAAGACGGCTTTAATGATTTTACCCCAAACGATAAGGGAATGGGAAGTTGATGATAAGGTATGGTTGGGGAACTCATTGCATTCTTTTAATTCTCTATCAGAATTTTATTTGTTTCTGTTCCTGTTGATTTTTGTTTTGTGTTGCAGATGTCTGTCCAGGCTTGGACCATCTTCTTGGCATTCCTGCTATTTCCTGTTGCAGTTTGTGGATACGGTAAGGTATTCCAAAAAGTGGGTTATCCTAAATTGTGATTTTGAGAATGTTATGTGACTCCTTGCACTCGTGATGTCATTATTGTGGTTGATGGATCCAGTTCAATGCAAACGAGTACTTATATTTCCCAGGAAATAAATGTGATCACAAAATTGACATATTCCTGGACGCTAGATTATTCGAAAGTCAGATTGGCTCTTGTTGGAGCCTACTTTGGAAATGAGTTCAATGGTTTAGACTATTTTACAGACAGGTTAGACTGTCAAATCTTATGCTAATTTAATGTATTAGTTACAGTTCGCTAGTTGAGAAACGGCTACAGTCTTTCCGTTTGGCCGCCATGCAATACGGATTGTTCAATGGCGACTTCAATACGTAAGCAATTTTGTCATGAAATAGTTCAAAGTCTCTCCTTCAGTACCGTCCGTTTCCTAGATGAACGTTACGTTGGACAGAGGGCAAATTTTGGACCTCGAACCAATGTTCAGAAGAGAATTGTGATATTCACTTCTCATTCTGGAGAGAAAGATATTGCTTCAACCAAGAACACGTTGCAAAAATTCGGACAACTTGGATATTCAGTGACTCTTGTGGGAATCGGAGTCAGTGAAGACGTGTATAAGAACACATATTACCATAAGGTAAGCTGAAACGTTCGAATCACAATGATAAGCTGATTATAGTTTGTCACTATCCAATGGTTTGAGCTCGGAAGTGTCGCCCAATCAATCATTGACACCATCACAGAGGAAGGAATTTGTTTCTTGGATCGTAAGTTTTCATAACAAATAATTTTTTTGGTACAAATAATTGGATTTGTGAATGAGAAACGGCGGTGGAAGTAGCCGAAGATCTCATAACGGCAACTACCGTAACCTCATTTGTTTTTATTTTCAGTAATGATTTTCTTGATTTTCGTGCGTTTTCAGTCCATTTTTTCACTATCAGAAGTTGCAATGTTCCATTGTTTGAGGAAAAATGACAGAAAAATCATGAAAATCAGTAAAAAACGAGTCCTGAAAATTTAAAAATAAATCCTGAAAATAAATAAAAACTTAGGTTACTGTAGTTGTCGTTGTGGTACCTTCGACCACGGTCATCTTCCACAGCTCCGATGTATTTTGTGTCAGTTCATTATCCATTTCCAAGTTTAAACACATTTCAGAAGGATGGACGACACCTAAACAAGAAATTTGCACAACAACTCCCACAACTACTCGTGCTCCAACAACGACCACAAAGAAAAGTACTGGTACTGTAAAACCAGCAACTACTCCAAAACCAGTTCCTCCAACACATGCACCATTTCCAGTTGGAGATTATCAAGACTGCAGTTGTACCACTCAATCTCTCTATGTAATTTTGTTTATTCTTATCATGATTCTTTGATAACTTCTATTTCAGATTGACATCGTTTTCGTTGTTGACGTTTCTGAAGGAATGGGATTGGGAGGACTTATGATGGTGAAGGCTGAAATCAATACACTAGTAGGTCAAATGTCATTGGATCCGGAAATTCAGAAACATGTTCAAGTGGGATTGATCAAGTACAGTAATGAATCTGAGGTAGAAATTTCAATTTTCAGAATTTAGAATAGAGGATTTCAGATTGTGTTCAAACCATCCGAGTATACAAACGAAGATGAGTTCACTGAAGATTTATGGACAGATCCACGTTTAGAAGACGTTGATGAAAAGACGGACGAAGTGAATCTGCACTTGGCACTTCAACAAGCAGCAAAGATGATTGGGTCAATGAGAAAAGGAGTTAAGAAGGTTGTTGTCATTTATGCAGCTAGTTACAAGTAAGAAACAGAAACATCGGACTAATTAGATTTTGAAGTCTTCTAAATTTAGTGACGAAGGAGATGATGATGCTCGCCAAATAGCTGCCAACATCCGAGAATCTGGATACGAAATCATCACTGTTGCATTTGTCGAACCAGAATCTTCCAGTTTGGTGATGAAGATTGGAGAACTTGCGAGCCCTCGAATGAATTTTACTTCTTTCCGAGATGAATTATTGGTCGACGAACTAGAAGATGCTCTCTGTCAAGTGAATTGTTACTGTCCAAATGGTTGGAAACAGTTGGTACTGGAGGATAGAAAATACGGAGAGTGTTTCTTCCCAACGAAAATCGACGCTAGCTGGACTGCAACTAAATTCGAATGTCCAATTCTTTCTAAAGAACATACTGGAAATGGTCATTTGGTTTATGTGAATTCTGCCTTGAAAAACACATTCCTCAATAAGTTTTACATGGATCACTGGGATCCAGAAAACCAAGAAAAACCAAATTACGACATTGGTCTTTCTTACGATAAGGCCACTCAGAAGTATATTTGGGTTAACGGAGTTACAAATAATCCATATTCAAATTGGGCGGAAGGGCATCCAAATCTTTCAAAAGGAGAATGTGTTATGTCAAAACAAGAAGCTGGAACTACAACGGATTTCAAGTGGAATTCTATTAACTGCCAGACAGATAGCGGAAGGTCAGAATTAATTTACCGTATTTCCTCTAGTAGAAGCTTACCCAATCCGTCAACTTTGAGCTCAATTATCTCAGTTCCTATGAAAGATATCAAAAAGTGATTAACGAACAAAATATTTTTGATAATATGGTAAATATGTTGTCTGTTGACCACTTTTCGATATTTTCACAGAAACAAAAAATATGAGCTCAAAGTTGACGGTTTGGGGTGACGTCCTATTAGAGTGTTTACGGTAATGTTAATTCTCATAACTGGGTTTTTTCAGAGGACTTTGCCAGGAAGCGGCTTGTGATTCTGATTTCTACTGTCCACCAAATTAGTCTCGTCAATGACATCATTGTACTCCTGAAAATGTTCTAAAATAAATTCTTTCTCTCTTCTTCTTCGTTTTGTTCCTTTTTTTGCAGTGAGTAAGTGCGAAAACTAGTTTTTGCGGGGTGGGTTTATTGTCGATATTCACCAGTGAATATGAATGAAAAATATGAATCAGAGAGACCCAATTCTACTATTCGGCAGTTATTTGAAACTTTTTGAAAAAGAAGAAGATCCCATCGCATATTGATTTTAAAATGCTTTGGTTGTTTTTCAAATAAATAGTGCAATTTTATTAAAGAGAGAATGAGTCTTTTCACATGTTTTCAAACTATTGTTCATGTGATTTTCAGAATGTACCAGCGTCGAATTCTTGAAATGAATGGAAAAGAATTGAGAGCTTTGACCGCAATAGTACTTCCAGGAAGAAAAGGTGACGAGTTGAAAATTGGAGAAATGCAGGAAATGTGTATAAAATGGTATGTTTCGAAAATTAAGATGTTGGAATCCAAAAATTGCCTGAAAACCTGTAATAGATGGGCCCCGGACTGTTAACTGTTAAGTAATTTATCTTAGTTCCTATACAAAATGTGTCCTGATAAAATTTTGGTGATTTTACGATAAACAATTTATCAGTTGACAATTTTTTGAAATCTTTTACCGGAATCAAGATAAATTAGCTGAAAGTTGAAAATTAGAAGCCCTTCTATTACAATTTTTAAGGTAGCTACAGTTCATAAATTTAAGGTTATTCTCAAATGGATTGTCTATAAATCACGTATTTGAAATTCATGAAGACGTCGATGGTCGTGTATTCTGTGTGATGCGGAATTCAGAAGCTTGTTTGTGTTGTCCAAAAGGTTAGTTGTAGTTGCTTCTTCTTTTACCCTTCGTATTTTTTTCCCTCAGCATCTGAATCAGGAACCCTCAAAGTTTTTGATAATGGTCCAATAGGTGACAACTTCAAAAGAACGCCTTCTCCAGTACGAAAACCAAAGGAACAAGAAAAGAAAAAAGAAGAAAAAGAACCAAAAGTGAAATTCGAACTTCCATCTTCTCCTGATCCTCCAACGGTTTCATTCTCAAAACCCTCCGCTCCAACCAATAAAGTTGCTCCCATAACAGTGCAACCAACAATTGTAACGATATCGGACAAAAAGAAAAAAGAAGAAGAGGAAGAAGAGAAAAAGAATCAATCATCATGTGCCTACTGCAAAAGAGAATGTGGATTGTGTATTGTAACACTGTGCTCCCAGTTTTAAACTATGTTCTTTATTTTATTCTCTGAAATTCATTTCTCGGAAAACCATGTCTACTCCACGAGAAAATGACAACTATGCCAGCTCTTCGCCAATATTCAAACCACTTCTTCATGAATTTCTGAAAAGAAGTTCCAGTTGTAATCGGTGGGTCATTCTCTCCACCGTACTTCATTTTATTTTTTTTTTGCTTTCAGCATCTCGTTCAGCACCCAATACTTTGATTTTCTGCTCATCGTCACCATTTCAGTCTTCTCGTTTGGTGCTATTTTTCTGATTCTCTGGGCAGACTTTTTGTTAAATTCAGTTAGACCAGGTGGGTTATAAAATTATGAGTTAAAATGAAAATTTTGAAATTTCAGGATCCAGGAAGAGAACGTAATCGTTGTTAGGTCTATGGAAGTTCTTCTAATTTTTGTATATTCAATTTATATTATTTTCCTTTTCCGAATTATTAGTATGAGTGTTAATAAAGCATCACATTAGAAAAATGAGATCATAAATTTTGCAACTAAAAACACTAATGATGTTCTGAAAAAAGAAAAATGGAAAGATGATTTACAAGGTTCAACTTGAATAACAGAGGAATGATAGATTTGCCAAAGATTTCGATTCTGGATGCACAATGCTCCACCGCCACGTTTCAGTTGAGATTTCTGAAAACCGTTTTACAATTATAGGATCATTAAAAACTTGTTTACTTGTCGATTCATATCTCCGAAACACACAATTGGATTCGTTTGAGAATTCGACACCGCCCACTTTGAATGATCCTTGGAACTCGCAAAGTTGAGCCCGGTTACCCGCATTTCTGTGACGTCATGTGTCTATAAATGGAAAACAGTTCACTCTGTATCTCATATTTGTAAATTACCTGACTGGAATCTGTACATGTGGTATGCAGATCATCACCACTCCCATTCAACCAACTCTCAACTGCTAGGGTTACTTTGTTTTGTTTTGAAATTAAATCATTCCAAATATCTGAAATTGAAAGAAAATTGAATCTGAATAGCATCGTTTGCGTACCTCCATCAAACTTTTTATGCTTTGCGTATGCCATCAGAGTAACTCCTTGTACGGTTTTTATCGGTTTCGAAATCCAGAATTGAGTTGCTGACCGAGGTAAACTTTGTTTGGCTTGCACATTTCTCAGTGTTGGGAATCGAGTCGCAAACTTATCCGGAAGATTTATTAAGTATGGAGTTGCCTGGAATTTGTTCCTTGTGAATTTAGGAAATATTCAAATGATCTAGTAAACGAAATTCGCAATTGTTACCGTAAAACATTTGATAGAAGATCTCCAAGACTGTAAACTTTGTACCTGTATATCTCCTGTTTCCTGTAAGAGATATCGAAAAGTAGCCAACTGACAAATAACTTATGATGTTATGATAAACAACTTATCAGTTGGCAACTTTTTTCATGTCTTTCACAGGAACCGAGATAATTGAGCTCAAAGTTGATGAATTAAGAAACCTTCTATTACAGGTTTTATGGTATTTGCGACTATAGCGGGCTATCATAATAAATGTTCGCTTTTCTGATTCTTTTTGTAGTTTAAGAAAATCTTACTTGAATATATTTCCAATGCTCAGCAAGTTCTGTTAAATGTTGAACTTCCATGGACGCACAGAAAAAAGACTGTCCATATTTCTCAGCTGTTTTGGGATATGAATAACTAGTCAGTGGTGGAAAATTAGGAACACTGTGAATCAACCAGAATCCAGTAGTTGAATCGAAAAGTGAAACACCTTTTGCATGTCCACGATATGAATCAGCTTCTTTGATTGGGTCATCATCACTGTACATGAAGGCGAAATTGTTGGTTTTATCGGATGAGTAGGCCTGAGAAATGGTTGCTCCGACAGCTACATTTGCATCGTTGATATCGTTTTCACGGGTCCAAACAGATGACTCCGAATCAATATAAACGAATTCTTTTCCCGTTGTCCCACTTGACAGTTTAGGCAACTTGTATACGACAAACCTAAATATCAGAACTGTCCAAAATAAAGATTTCAGCTTGGAAATGAGTCCCTTCGTCGTCTTCTTTTACTCACCAGTCCACCGACTTCCCACGCATGTTTTTGCATTGAAACTTTCCATCTCCAATCGAAAATATCACAGTAAAAATAAAAACGACCAGTAACCGATTCATTCCGTCAGCTACTGATTTTTGTCTCGCCCCATCATCGACCCACTTTCTTTTTCTGTCTTGAAAAAAAAATATGAAAAATGTATTTTCTATCTCTCCCCTTTTTTCTTTGGTCTCTTCTTTAGACAGCAGTGACGCAGAAGCGGAGAATGGTCGCAAATTTTTTTTTGCATGGCCGCGGCCTTGCATTTTCTCTACCATGTATATCAAGAGTTCTCTCGGAATAAATTTCTCGCGGAAATTCTTATAAGAAATTTCTTGTGCAATTTTTTAGCTCAAAATCTTTTTTTTCATTTAGCATCGAAACCGTACAATTATTTCAAAGTCGCAGTATTCTTGTTTTTCTATTGGAGAGTTGCGCCTTCACATTGCTGTTTTTAGTTTATTTTAATGCTTTTAAATCTTCATTAGACTATAAATTTTTCTTTTTTTATTCGTGTCTAGATTTTGACCAATTTTCAACTTACAGAATGAGTAAATCAATCAAAAAGTCGAAATCAAAGTACTCATTAGACAACATTCATCAAGTTCCCGGTCTTATCGCCTACATGGTGTGCAAAGGAAACGCCATCGTACGTTTTTTTTTTCTTTTGTTCTTGAATCCTACTGAATTTCCTTCATTAAATCATTGATAATATTTCAGGTTCACAACACATTCCCCGAATCCGACAATCCTCGTCAAGTTGCCTACAATGCAATGAGAATGGCCACTCGAACTCAAGGAACTGAGCTGAGCGACTTGAAAATTCACACAATCCAAGTGCAATACGACGATTTTCAAGTGGAACTGTTTCAAATCGGCGGACATTTCTGTATCGTCAAAAAGCGATTGGAGACCGACTAGACTTAACTCACTTCTTCCCCGTGCATTCCTACTCTGAAAAGTAACTGAATTTTTCCCTATTTTGATGTAAATCAGTTGTATTTTCTCGGTTTTGTCTCATATATTTATATATTCTAAACATAACAAAGAAAACAAGAGTTCTATAAAGTATCCCTACGATGAAACAAAAAACAAGACAAAAAAAATTAACGACGTTTCCAGATCCATTTAGCACGAGCACCCGGTTGATTGACTTTGCTCCTTTCGTTTTTACGTGGATCTAATGTCAGCAATCCGGAAAGTCGTAGTGGTTCAGTTGACTCTGGATTCAACGCAGCGACACAGAGAGCAGTCCCATGCCGAACAGCTCTCGGCAAAGCACTCATTCCACCGCTTCTCTTCAATGGATCTCTATTAGGAGCTTCAGGAAGGCTGTTTGAGATGCAAGATGTTGTTGCTTCCACGTCGAATCTTCCAAGTGTCTGACTGATGATCATTGGGGCGAGAAGAATTTCTCTACAAGAACAAAAATAAGAAGCTGAAAATAAAAGAAATTATTTCTACCTGGCTTGCAAATGTCTGAAATCGTGCAGTTGTAGACCATCAATATCAAATTTCCCTTTACCCGCATCAATCACTCTGACAGTTGCTCTTGTATCTTTGCAATGTGTTCTGAAACCATTCGTTTTGATATATAACTCATTATAGTTCCATCACTTACGTCACTTCCGCGAATCTTCTATTCGTTTCTGCGCAAACTTGCACTTCTGGAATTGCTGGACCGAACAACTTCGAGCCGGTAGAAGCTGTCATTGGCTCTCTGAATTCAGACAAAAACTTTTGCTCGATGGCTGATCCAGGAAGCGATGCGAGATGTTGCAAAGCAATGATGACCTGGGCGTATAACTCGTTCGAGAATTTTTCAGAAAGCTTCTTCTTCATCTTATCAGCTGTGATCCATTGCGAACCGCTAAGATTCCTGGAAAAAGAAGAATCAACAATAATAACGATGGCGCCATATTTTCAACATACGCTGGCTCTAAATCATTCTTGTTCACTGAACGGCTGCCAACATGCTCGTCGTAAAACTTCATCACTGATTGTGTTTTCACTCCGATTTCCGACATGAGTCCATATATTTTTGGGTTTAGAGTGAAGAATCGGGTGCCTTCTGGTTTTCCTTCTTCGTCAAACGTGAATCTTTGAAACTTGGGAAGAACCTCATCCGGCGGTCGCATTACTGGACGTGCTTTTGGGTCAGTGAGTCCAGATGGGAATAGATATTGGATAGCTCTAAAATTGAAATATTTTCTTTGAATCCTGATAAAAGTATCAAATCGTACCTGTCAATCGCTTCTTGGTCAAGTTCATGAATATCCAAGCTCATCATTTTCGCGAGATGACGCCTTCCAGTCTCAAATTCTGCTCTGTGTTTTTCCATCATCGCCACATGTTGCTGACTGTTTTTCAAATATGTCTCAAGAGCCTTTCCAATCTTTCGAACTGATGCCTCGTTATCTGGTCTGAAATTCGTAAACTTCCTTCTGTGGACGAATTTCGTAAGAACTCACACTGAGGATGGCGAAGCGATGCTCATCGCCCTACTTGATCGAGTTAAAGCTATTCTGAGCATCTGAAAATTGTGAATACCGCGATAAACACACAAAATGCGTTTTTTTTTCGATAAATTAGAGAAAAAATGGAGAAAAATGAAAATTTTTGCTGAGGTTTCAATGGGGCGCGATTGCGCAGCCTGCAATATTCTGTGGGAGACCCCGCAATTTCCGGGGAAAAAAAATCGGGGAAAAAAAACCGGGGAAAGTGGGCGGAGTCGAAAAAAAACCGTGCGGCAAAACCGTGCCAGGGTTGCAATTTAGGCTCCGCCCCCTCATGACCGTGCCCAAATGTGCAGAAAAACC